GTGCGTTTACAAAAGGTGAAATGCAATTCTGACCAGGTGCCACATACCCTGTATACAAATAAACACATATATACATATATACCTACACATATCCACATATATATACATACACCTATGTCTCTCCTACTTTGACAGAGTAAGATAGCGTCTATAGAAGCTAGTGTGATATTAAACAGTTAACCACTGAAGGTGATTAAGGTGCTTTTACAAGCTCAGGTGTGGAAGGTGGTGGTGGAGGGGCCTCCAAACACACACACGTGGTGAGCCGGTGGCTGAGCGGACAGCACGCTGGACACGTGATCCTGTGGTCCCGGGTTCGATCCCGGGCGCCGGCGAGAAACAATGGGCAGAGTTTCTTTCACCCTATGACCCTGTTACCTAGCAGTAAAATAGGTACCTGGGAGTTAGTCAGCTGTCACGGGCTGCTTCCTGGGGGTGGAGGCCTGGTCGAGGACCGGGCCGCGGGGACACTAAAGCCCCGAAATCAACTCAAGATAACCAGCTTAACAATTTTCAATTATCATACGTTATCTTGAGATGATTTCGGGGCTTTAGTGTCCCCGCGGCCCGGTCCTCGACCAGGCCTCCACCCCCAGGAAGCAGCCCGTGACAGCTGACTAACTCCCAGGTACCTATTTTACTGCTAGGTAATATGGCCATAGGGTGAAAGAAACTCTGCCCATTGTTTCTCGCCGGCGCCCGGGATCGAACCCGGAACCACAGGATCACAAGTCCAGCGTGCTGTCCCCTCGGCCGACCGGCTCCCACCGTTTGCTTCAGACTGTTAAAGTGAATCATCACACGGTGAAATATTTTTATTTTAAGTTTAAAAAATAGATTGTTAGTATTCAATGTCCCGCTGATGTCACGCCAGACTTTTATGGGTCTTGAAAGCCTATCATTACACACTTTATAAATTTCTATCAATAGTCGAATTAGATCACAAACATCAAAGGTATTTTTTACATAGAATAAAAATTGTGAACACATTTATTAAGTAAAACACAATAGTCGCACTGTGGCCACAATATATCGTCTTTATTATTCACAAGTAAAGCAATATATCTACTTTATAACACACATATATATATATATATATATATATATATATATATATATATATATATATATATATATATATATATATATATATATTATTATATATATATATATATATATATATATATATATATATATATATATATATATATATATATATATATATGCAAACAAGCCTGAATGGTCTCCAGGACTATATACAACTGATATATATATATATATATATATATATATATATATATATATATATATATATACACCAGAACACACTTCTCGGCCTACTATGCAAGGCCCGTTTTGCCTAATAGCCCGAGTGATTTTCTTTATTTTCAATAAATTGTTTCCAATTTATTTGAATTATTATTATTATATTATGAACATAAATGACTGACTTAATTGTGTTAGTTTAGGTTAAGATAGGTTAGGTAGGTTAGGTTAGGTTAGGTTAGGTAGGTTTGGTTCGGTCATATATCTACGTTAGTTTTATCTCAAATTTATAAAAAAATTAACTCATACATAATGAAATGGATAGCTTTAGAATATAGTTGTGCATTAATTGGCTGTTGATTGCTGGTGTTGACTTCTTGATGTGTAGTGCCTCGCAGACGTCATTCCGCCTGCTATCGCGGCTTGACAGCCTACTCATGAGAAACTCTCCAGACACAAAGCAGAACGCTTTAAAAGAGACCAACGTCGTCTATGCCTTCAAATGCCCTCTTGGGGACTGTAAGCCTAAAAAAACTCAGTATATAGGCAAGACAACATCTCTTTCCAGGCGTTTAACGATGCATAAGCAACAGGGCTCCATTAAGGAACATATAATCTCTTCCCACAACCAAACCATCACCAGAGAAATTTTAGCAAACAACACAGAAATCATCGATAGATACAGCGATAGCAGGCGGCTTGACATCTGCGAGGCACTACACATCAAGATGTCAACACCAGCAATCAACAGCCAATTAATGCACAACTATATTCTACCCACTTCAAGACTCCGCTCCAATATAGAAGCATCAAGGAATATGGGCCAATAGGCCCTCTGCAATTACTTCCATTCTTACCTTCAATACCCATTGTTTCGTGTTCTGTCTTGTGTTAAAAGTTTGTTTTCACCTCATCCAAAACTGTTGTAACATATCACCTCACCCAAATGCAGGTATAAAAAATCGAAGATGTTTAAGCTCTATTCAGTTATAGTTGTGTGTGTGTGTAAACTAAAGTCTTTGGAAATGTAATAAGTTTTACGGAACGCGCTCAAGTGTCTAGTCAGACTTGAAATAAAAATGAATTTTGGAGAATTGATTTTTCAATTACCATCAACAGTGAAAAGAAACATAATAAAGATCGAGAAAATTAGTGTTAGAATTATTAATCCTACTTTTTCGGTCATATTTAATAATATATATATTATATATATATATATATATATAATATATATATATATATATATATATATATATATATATATATATATATATATATATATATATATATATATATATATATATATATTTGTGTGTGTGTTTTTGTGTATGAAAACAGTTGATTGATATTTGAGAGGCGGGCCGAAAGAGCCAGAGCTCAACCCCCGCAAGCACAACTAGGTGAATACACACACACACACACACACACACACACACACACACATACACACACACACACAAGTGGAATCATAGTACCTAAATGAGCCACAGAGACACCAGAAAAAATGTTTCCAGTGTCAGAGTAGTTAACAGATGGAATGCATTAGGCAGTGATGTGATGGAGGCTGACTCCATACACAGTTTCAAGTGTAGATATGATAGAGCCCAGTAGGCTCAGGAACCTGTACACCAATTGACAGTTGAGAGGCGGGACCAAAGAGCCAAAGCTCAACCCCCCGCAAGCACAACTAGGTGAGTACACCCGCACGCACACAAACAATAGGGGGTCCTCCTGGCTGAGTGGACCGCACTTGGGGGTCGTAGTCTTAATGGCCGGGGTTTGATTCCCTGTGGAGGCGGAAACAAATGGGCAGAGTTTTTTTCACCTTGATGCTCCTGTTCACCTAGCAGTAAATAGGTACCTGGGAGTTAGACAGCTGCTACGGGCTGCTTCCTGGTGTGTGTATGTATGAGTTACGTGTGACGTAAAAGTGAACTTATAAAGCAGTGACTATTCTGGTTGATGTGCCAATCACATTAAATAAAAAAAAAGTAAAAGTAAATAAAACTGCTTCTGACCTCTTACGGTCTGAGAGCTCCGGGTAATGTCCAGAGAATTAAAAACTTAAAATTATTTTCGTTATATTAAATATTTTAACATAAAAAAATCCGTATATTCTACTTGGCGATTAAACAATACAAAAATACCAATAGAAATATAAACATGTAACAGTTACGTTAATGGCAAAATAGAGGTGCAAATTATACTTTATACAAGAGCTGCTCGAGTCTACCGTTGTTGTTAAAGATTCGCTACCTGGAACAAAGTTCCAAGTAGCACGGGCTATGGTGAGCCCGTAGTCAAGTCTACCGACACCCAGGGGAGCGAGAGTAGATCTTGCAGCTTGGAGCACTGAAGAGTATTCCGAGGTCTGGCCTTTTGATGAAGATTAAGGCACCCAAGAGATGGCACGGGCATGAATAGCCCGTAAGAGGTCTGGCCGGTGGTGAGCTGCTTATATATGCAGTCAGGCCTAGTGTAGATGGCGCTAATGGGCAGTAACTATCGCCTACAGTCTTAAACAAGCGGTTCAGCTGGTCGACCGGCGAGTGGGAGTTAGCCCCAGACAGGTGTCTTGGGCACTTGAGGGTGGAGGTGGGGTGGTGGTGTCTCTAGACACAGGCTTCTGAACACGAATTATTGTTGTTGATATCTATACACTCGAGTATAAGAAATGTTGTTGAATAGGCGGTAAAGGCATAGGCAGGATCTCCTTGCCTAAGCAAGAGATTACCATCAGGGAGAAACATAAATAGTAGATATAATAGAGGAAAAATAGATTGGTTAGAAAGGCGGGGTCCAAGAGCTAATATAGCTCAATTCTGCAGACACAAATAGTAAATACACACCAAATTGACGACGAGGAATTCCTTAAACTTCAAGAACAAGATGTCACAGATTCAAGCTAAGGAAACAAAGGTGGCGACACAATATTAGAAAGCTTTCTTTCGTAAACAGAGTGGTAGACGGTTGGAACAAGCTAAGTAAGCAGGTGATGGAGGCCAAAACCGTCAGTAGCTTCAAAGTGTTATGGAACAAAGAGTACTGGGAAGACGGGACAGCACGTACGTGCGTAGCTCTCATCCTGTAATTACACTTAACCACACACACCCTGGGTGTGGAGGCGGACCCTGGGTGTGGAGGCGGACCCTGGGTGTGGAGGGAGACCCCTGGGTGTGGAGGGAGACCCCTGGGTGTGGAGGGAAGGATGAATAGCTGTGAACATGATGAAGTCACCTGACGTCTGCTCATGGTACATTACGTGCCCACCTGACATCTTGACCGTCCTGACCATCTCACCGCGGTCTCCTAGCCTCACGTTGGGCCCAAGAGGCCCTCGCGTGTAATGCTCAGGGCACCAGTGTGTGGGCTCAATACCCCCTGACACGGTAATGTCCATGTTTCTGGGGGGAAAATGAGTGAAAGTGGCGCGCACTGGAGGGAAAGTTGCGAGGCTGCGGCAGCCAGTGAGGTCCTAAAGCTGTCTGGGAGCGCCAGGGTTAGTTTCTTTACATCAAAACCATCAATATTTCTTCTCCATTCGATCCGCGAGGTTAAAAGAAACATCTGCAATCCACAATAAACTGATAAGCCACACACAAACCCATTTTTTTGTTTAGTTAATTCGGAAGAGAAAAGAGAAGTCGACGAGACAAGAAAGGAAATGTTGGCAGCGCGTGTTATGGGACGTCAGGTGGTGGTGGGAGTGTGTCCGGACGTCAGTGTTCGCGCGGAGGTCGGCGGGGGATGTACGCCGCTCTCACCCCCCTGTGTCTCCACACACACCCTCTCACCCCCCTCCCCTGTGTCTCTACACATACCCCTCCCTCACCCCTGTGTCCCCTCTCACTCGACCCTTACCTGTGTCCCCCATACCCACCCCGGCCTTCCTGCCCAGCCAGTGTCTGCAAAGTTACTTATGACCTACGACCAGAGGGTCAACATTGGCCTGAACCAGGTCCACTGGCCTTAACCCAGGTCCACTGGCCTTAACCCAGGTCCACTGGCCTTAACCCAGGTCCACTGGCCTTAACCCAGGCCCACTGGCCTTAACCCAGGTCCACTGGCCTCAACTAGGTCCACTGACCTTAACCCAGGTCCACTGGCCTTAACCCAGGTCCACTGGCCTTAACCCAGGCCCACTGGCCTCAACCAGGTCCACTGGCCTCAACTAGGTCCACTGGCCTGAACCCAGGTCCACTGGCCTGAACCCAGGTCCACTGGCCTGAACCAGGTCCACAGGCCTTAACCCAGGTCCACTGGCCTTAACCCAGGTCCACTGGCCTTAACCCAGGTCCACTGGCCTTAACCCAGGTCCACTGGCCTTAACCCAGGTCCACTGGCCTTAACCCAGGTCCACTGGCCTTAACCCAGGTCCACTGGCCTTAACCCAGGTCCACTGGCCCTAACCAGGTCCACTGGCCTCAACCATGGCAAGCAACGGTACTGTCAACAGTTGTGCGTTGTCAAGTGTCAAGTGCGGCGTGAAGTGCTGGTGAAGTTGTGTAGAAAGTGGTGATAGATATAATAACACTTGTGCGGGAGGAAGCGGCAAGCAGCGTTCTCAGCCTTATCTGGAGGCGACACTTTGTCAGCGTCAACACCATGTCACGAGGTAGGTGTCACACACACGCACACAAGGTGTCACGCACACACGGTGTGTCACGCACACAAGGTGTGTCACGCACAAAGAACAGAGCTCGACCCCCGCAAGCACAGCTAGGTGAATACACTAGGTGTCACACAGTGTCAAACGCACATGGTGTCACACACAATATGTCACACACACACAACGTGTCACATGCACAAGGTGTCATACGCACACGGGTGATAAGCGAAGGAGACACATCCAAGGTCACTCGGGTCGTGGGTATAAAGCTACAGTCACGGGTCGTGGGCACGTTGGGTATAAACAATTGTATACATAATTTCAAGCCATTCCCCATGACATCTTTCGAGAAAATGTAAATATGCAGTTTAAAATAGCACAGTATTCCCTATTTTTTTTTTTTTTTTTTTTTTTAGAATTAGTACCCATCTGGACCATCTGACTGAATGGTTGTTGTTAGTTAAAGTAGATTTCCAGTTCTTGAACAACTATGCTATAATAACCGTTGGTACATTAAACTATGTAACTAGCCAACCCGTCCTCGACTCTAAGTCCATTCCACCCCCACAGAGGCATTCATAAATGTAAACATGCTGTTCATTCAAAACGGGAATTTTCTTAAATGTAAATTAATATTATACTATATTAGCATACTGTGCATATATTGACATAGGTTAGGTTAGGTGTTTAGGTTCTGTTGGCGATTATTCGTATTTGTAGTACGTGGGTGATGCATTTACGGTGTTGTGGTTCGAACAACAGTCGTCAGTGAAGCACTTGTTCCGGAAGTGTTCGAACGTCAGCAGTTGTGAGTCGCGTGTAAACATTTTTTCATTCATGAACAGGGGGGTATGGCGGGTGGATGGACTCACTTTTGGTTCTTTCTTTGGAGGACGAGCTGGATTAGCTTATCTAAACTGTAACTTGTTTGGCTAAATGAATTTTAGGGTTCAGTTCCTTAGCTCATTGTACAGCCCGTCCTCATAAACAAAGGCCAAAGTCCATTTCATGCACTCGCCAAACCCGCTGTTTATAAATGAAAAACGATTTAAGCATGACTGATGACGTCCGAACACTTCCGGCACATGTGCTTCGCTGACGACTTTTGCTCGAACCACAACGCTGTAAATGCTCCACTACCGCCCACAGGATGGGTATGGGGCCCCCTACCACCCACATGATGGCTATGGGGTGCATAATAAATGAACTGAACTAACGGCACGATTTATTTGAATGATATAGATATTAGAGTAGAACTTTCAATTGTTTATACTATAACATGTAGGATAATTTGTTCGTGTTCATTGAAGGGGAACGGCGCGCATATAGTGCATATATAATATATATATATATATATATATGTATATATATATGTATATATATATATATATATATATATATGTAATATATATATATATATATATATATATATATATATATATATGTATATATATATATATGTATATATATGTCGTACCTAGTAGCCAGAACGCACTTCTCTGCCTACTATGCAAGGCCCGATTTGCCTAATAAGCCAAGTTTTCATGAATTAATTGTTTTTCGACTACCTAACCTACCTAACTTTTTCGGCTACCTAACCTAACTTTTTCGGCTACCTAACCTAACCTATAAAGATAGGTTAGGTTAGGTAGGGTTGGTTAGGTTCGGTCATATATCTACGTTAATTTTAACTCCAATAAAAAAATTGACCTCATACATAATGAAATGGGTAGCTCTATCATTTCATAAGAAAAAAATTAGAGAAAATATATTATTTCAGGAAAACTTGGCTTATTAGGCAAATCGGGCCTTGCATAGTAGGCTGAGAAGTGCGTTCTGGCTACTAGGTACGATATATATATATATATATATATATATATATATATATATATATATATATTATATTAGCTACCGGCACAAGGTGCTCAAAGGTGAAGCATTTAACTTATTCTGCAAGTAAATGCCGACGTCACGGGAATCCCTGCTATAAGATGTCTCGGCTCAAGGACGACAAGTTAGCCTATACTCCTACAACTTTAAAGTTGATATCGTTTTTTCTTCTTCTACCACAGACGTGGCCACATATTTACAATGCTAACCAGCATATATACATTTTCTTGTCCTCCATGGACAGGGTGAGAGATGTGTTAAACACATAGTTCAGGGATTTATTGAACACTCAACCACAGAAGGTGATTGTAGTGCTTTAAAAATGCTAAGCTAACTTACTGACATGCACAGATTTATGTCTGTCTTTCATAAACAGTGTTCGAGGTGTGTTTACATAGCGTCATTAATGTGCGTTTACAAAAGGTGAAATACAATTCTGACCAGCTGCCACATACCCTCTATACAAATACACACATATATACATATATACCTACACATATCCACATATATATACATACACCTATGTCTCTCCTACTTTGACAGGGTAAGATTGCTTCTATAGAAACTAGTGTGATATTAAACACTTAACCACTGAAGGTGATTAAGGTGCTTTTACAAGCTCAGGTTATAGATACATTGTAAAGTAGATGTATTATTACATATTGTACAGGTACAATACATTGCACAACAGATGTATTACATAGTCAATCTTGGGTACAACTCCAATATATCATATATGTCATCATTGCATAGTGAACGGAGCCGATGAAATGGATGCAACCTATATTTTGCACAAGACGGTTCGCCAACAAAATTAAAAGGAAAAAATTACCCATCCTAATCAAGTCTAAACCAATGTAACCCACACCAGCCTAATATAAGATAATGCATCCTAACTTGACGATAAATGCTGGTAGGTCTATTGTGATACTGTGCATGCGATAGTCTTATAATAATAAAATTAGTAATTTATTCAGATTAAAGTCTATGCATGCAAAATGAGTTACAAACATAATGTTGGAGTGCTAGATAAAGCTAGTATATACTTTAAATAGTATATACTAGCACTGTATAATGCTAGTATATACATAAAACCATTTTTTTTTATTATTATTTTCTACCACAGACGTGGCCATACATTTACAATGCTTACCAGCATATATACATTTTCTTCTGTCCTCCATGGACAGGGTGAGAGACTTGTCAAACATACAGTTCAGAGATTTATTGAACAACCACAGAAGGTGATCGTAGTGCTTTTAAAATGTTAGGCTCAGCTACATACGTAAATACATAGATTTATGAATGCATTAATGTGAATTTATAATGGTGAAATGCAATTCTGATCAGCTTTATACTTTAAAAATCATTAATATGCACAGCGTTTTGGGTTAGATCCTTAAACTTATTGATAGAACACGTTGTAGTTAAATTGTATTCTGATTGTATTCCGTTATTCTATATGACGTGAATTTCTTCACGCAAATGTATTCCAACTGAGAAATAGACATTATACAATAAGTCTGTAATTTAAATGATGTTCAAGTATTACTAGAAGCAATATTATGGAAAATTACGATGGCTGGAACAATTATAAGCAAGTTAGGCTTTCACTGCACAGCCTAAAATTATTTATACCTGAACGTTGGTTCTTTTGTGATATTCGTGAACGTTCTCCATATATAATATGAACGTTTATACACAAGAAAAGTAAATGACAGACGTTTATACATAACAATTATTCATACATTCTCATTAACATTTCTACAGAATATATTTCTTCATATTAAGATTTCTTCGTCAACGTTTGCACATGTTACATTGGGTGGCATGTATCATCCTCGTATGAGAGCAATTATACATATTCTTGAACACCATATTATACATATACTTGAAGTAGGTAGAAATCAGGCAGCTCTGAGAACACGACCACAACTGAACGCAGATTCCTGTAAGATCAGTCAGTATTATAACTCCATTTCTACCCTTTTGAGGTGGCAATAATGTATACTAAGATTTCTCTCTTTCATTGTTCTTTGTTCTTCCCTTCGATTATATATATTTTTATTATATTGATGCGGCAAAATAGGCTGTTGTAAAACTGAGACTATATTAACGCAGCTTGGAGGTGATATGAGGACAAACAGCTAGGACACGAGGACAATGAACTGGGATATGAGCACGGGGGGGGGGGGGGGGGGGGGGAAGGAATGATGCCCAACCACTTGTATCATCGGGGATTGAACTTAGACTCTGTAAGATACAAGGCCATCGCTCTACCGAGCAGTGTGTGTATCGATTATCATTCCTGGCAAGAAATATTAGACTCCTTGCGCAGACGTTATGCGCCCTTGTTGTTATGTAAATACTGCACCTGGTGGATCAATCGATACTGCGTGCCTATTGGTATTTACATTATTTTTTATTTACAAGGAATGTAAATAAGTCTCAATCAACTGTTAGGTCAGCTCACACTAGGGGTACATTCTACCACCTTAGACCACGGCAGAATACCCACCACAGGCTGCCCCTAACAACATAACAATTTGAGGAATCTATAACAGGAAGCCTATCTATTTTGGGCATATATTAAATCAGTTGCTACAGATAATTTACGGGATCACTATAGCCCGTGCTAAGTGGAAATCTCTTTCTGAGTATCTAAATCTAAAACAGCAATATCCAGATAATTTGTATCCACTTCATCTCTGCATTAATGTCGAGACGATCATTGAAAAGCGTCAAGCCTTGATTGTTTCAAGCGTAGGTTAGACATATATATATATGTATGAATGAATATGGGTGGATACAAATTGAAGCTGCCACGTTATGGGCCAATAGGCCCTCCGCGGCTGCCTTGATTCTTATGTTATTATGTTATTAAAATAACATCATTACACAACAATAACAATGTTATTAAAACCACACCAGCCATAGCAGTAAGTGTAGGAAGTCCTAAGACCCACAGGGCTCCTACACCCCAGACCCACAGGGGCTCCTACACCCCAGACCCACAGGGGCTCCTGCACCCCAGACCCACAGGGGCTCCTGCACCCCAGACCCACAGGGGCTCCTGCACCCCAGACCCACAGGGGCTCCTGCACCCCAGACCCACA